CTTCAACCATTACTTATGTAGAGAGTGCATTTTGTTAATGGTTCTGTAAAAACAAACAAGCAGACAGCTGTCACATGACTCACATCTCGTCAGACAAGGACATGTTGTAAGATGGGAAAAATATTGAATTTAAGGAGTGTAGGGTATAGTTCTGAGACATAGTAGAATTTTTTTGTCTTTTTTTAGTTAATGAATGCTAATACTTGGAAGTTATGAATGTCTACAGTAGATGTATTTGATTTCTATATACATCTGACGGATGTGCAAAAACCGCGGATACCGTGAGAAAGTTATCCGCGGATGTGGTATCCGTGGGAATTTGTCAACCGCGGTACGACACCGCGGATAGCCTTATCCGCTGCAGTCCCTAATCTTAGAGACTCAGAACCTTCAACACGTCGATCACGAGGTTTGTCGGGCACGTGCCACTTTTAAGTTTCTTATCATGCCGATTCTTCGCCACTAGAAGTTGAACTGCTATCCTACCCTACACTAACCTGCAGCAAGTCTGCCGTTTGCATTAAGAAACTATAGCCTCAACGAGCATGGATACGACAAAAATACCTGATAAAATGTGACAAACTTGGCAGTTGTTTTCTTAAGTCGACTTAATCATGTTCTTGGGTTGGTGCTATCGCGTAATGAGATACAGCAGTACCCTGTGCCGCTAACGCCAAGCCCGCTTACCTTATGGGCATCCCCAAGTACGAGTATAAAGCGGGCCAGAAGGAAATCTTGGAATTTTTGTGACCTTTTTCCATCGGGTGACCGATCGAGCGACAATGCCCTCTGGTCGACTGCTTGTCGTCTTCGTAGCGATATCTCTCTTCCTGTCCGTCCGAGCCGTCTCCAACAAGGTCCTGAACGTTAGCTTCCCTAGCACTCCTCCTGACACATCAAGGAATATCGTCCATGATAATTTCTTCGGTATTTCGTGGGAGCTGTACCCGCTCAACTATCTATGTGATTCCCCAATCTCGTTCAGAGTCTGGCACAGGATCTAACCTCATCCTACAGGGGGCGAATCACCTGATGCCATGCCCAGCGCAATGAAAAATTATCTTTCAAACATACGTGCTCGTATGTCAACGCCATTGCGTATTCGCATCGGTGGGAATAGCATGGACGGTTCTCAGTATGTTCCTGGCCAGAAAAACATGATTACGATTACGGACGAGAATGCGAATTTCAACGATGTATGTGTGCTTAAATATGCGCAATATACGCGAATGCAGTTGCTCATACGTTCTTGAGCAGGTGCCAGTCGATTTTGGACCCGTACTATTTGATGTTCTAAATGCCATGGCGGACACTGTTGGGGAAATGCAGTTCATACTCGGACTGAGCATGCGTAATCCCGACGCGGATGACAACGTCATTGAACTTGCTGCAGCTTCATGGCAAAAACTGGGAAATCGCTTGGACGCGTTGTTGTTAGGGAACGAACCAGATCTTTATGCGGGGCACGGTGATATCCAAGGATACACGATCCAGCAGTACATTTTAGATGTCGGAGATGTCTACAATGATCTAGGGAATTCCGTCTACGGCAACTTGACGAATACGACGATTATTGGTGGGCCAACAATCTGCTGCGCGTGGCCATTGGATGACGTGTTAAATGCGGGCTTGATCAAGTTCCCGTACAAGTATTTCACGTTAGTAGTTTTGGCCGTGAAGGTGAATAAGTAGCTAATGGTCCCCCACAGGATTCAGCACTACCCAACACATGTCTGCGGTGGATCAACAGCAGCGAGCTCAAACATCACCTATTATATTTCCCACGTGAATGGTGAGGCAATAGTGTGTTAAGTTGTTCAGCTATTGATGACACTTCACAGTGTCCCCATTCCTTCGATGGAACGACGAAGGAATTGAACTGGCAAGAGAAGCTGGTGTGCCTATGCTACTCACTGAATATAACTCTGCCTCTTGCGGTGGTGATCCTAGCGTTGCTCCTACGGTATTTCATTTCTTTAAGTGCAACGCGCCATCTGTAATCTCACGCAACTTCGTAGTTCGCTGCGTGTCTTTGGGCTATAGATACTGCTTTACAAGGAGCAGCGCTCAATTTTACCGGCATGTACCTGCATACTCGGGAGATTGGTGTTACATATAATCTCTTCGAACCACCGTCTAAGGATGCGTCGCTAGATAGCAACTGGCATACCGGAGCCAACTACTACTCATTGCTCGTGCTCGCTGAGTCTATTTCGAACTCGACATCTATCGTTGTTGATCTGAACATTGATAACTCGACGACCAACAACGCCTCGAGCGTTGCTGCCTATGGTATTTACGACGGAGACGCACGCAACCGCAGCAAGCTGGTATTCTTTAACTACGATTACCCTCGGGCAGGCGGGAACAGCTCCGACGCAATCCAATCATTTGTAATCCCCGCAAATCTCACGTCCACTGTTGGCGTACGCTACCTTCTTGCAGCTAACATTACCGAGCAGACTGCGATTAGTTGGGCGAATCAGACCGTAGGCGAGAATGGTGTTTTGCAAGGTACACAGACTATGGAGATCGTCAACTGTACGGAAGGTTGCAGTGTAAAAGTTCCTGGTCCCGGACTTGCCGTCGTTTGGCTGGAACCCCAGAGCGAGTTGCAGTCTTCGAGCATTTACTCTGGTAACTCGACGGTTGCTGGTGATTCCCCAGTTTCCCACACCACGTCTGGCTCAATCGTGACACGGAGATATAATCTTCATTTGGTGTTCGGTGTGGTGTTCACAATTGTTATCGGGCTGGCCTTCTAAAGTTGCGGTCGCTGTTTTTTGCTTGCGGACACAAGGACATTTGGAATTTTGAGTTGCGTGAAACTCATTAAATTTTATGGTGCATCTTTGCTCTCCCCAACTCTGTATCCGGATACATTCACATTTCCGCTTCCTTCCTTTTTTTGCTGTCCTCTCGCTCATTCATAAATATATATACCCAAGGTTAGAGGCAACTCTCTTATCCTCATCTAGAGCCATAGTTCTCTGTAATCATTTCAAATAAATTAAAATATACATATCTCATTTGCTGATATCATGCCTCCGAAAGCAGTACTGATGGCCTTTCCCAAGTGATGGTGATGTACGCGAATTCTCCTTTTGTCTTCAAAATCAGAATTCTGACGGAAGAAAAAAGTGAAGCGTGACTGTGACTGACGCGTCGCTTCCATATAAGGGTCTGAGACAAATAAGGAAGCAGTACCGTGAATTTCCTGTTGGCTTCAAACTGCCATCTACTTGCGTCTTTGTCTTTATTCAAGCACTCCTCCAACACGCTGTCAACTACGCTGTCGCTCTCTCTTACACTCCCTATACCATGGAACTAACATTTGGTGGGAAGTATAGATTAGAAGAAGAGATTGGATATGGGGGTTGCGGTATGTTGCCTGCTCCAAGCCACGACGTCAGCCCCGACTGAATTACTTTTCGTTTTTTGTTGCCCTTCTTTGCCGTTAAAATGTGCGGTGCATAAACAGGGTCTGTGTATATGGGCACGCATACCATCGCCGGCAAAGAGGTTGCCATCAAGGTCGAATCGGCAAATGCAAAACATTCCATGCTCAAGCAAGAGTCCAGGATATACAAAACCCTAATGGGAGGTCCTGGCGTGCCATGGATGATGTGGTCCGGAAAACAAGGAGACTATAATGTGATGGTTATTGATCTGCTCGGTCCGTCGCTGGAAGACCTCTTCAAGATTTGCAACAAGCACTTTACGCTCAAGACCGTACTTTTACTTGCCGACCAGATGGTACGAATTTTCTCGTTCCGTTCTACTCTCCTTTCTTTTCGTGAGCGGTCTCTGTTATTTTGGTGGCTCGGTGGCTGGATGCGGGCTGAGGTGCTGCGCGAAAGAATGTGCTGGGCATCCCATGTTGATGTCGAACATCAATTCGAGCCACCTTCGAATATTCCCACAATAATCTATTAAACCGAAATTGGTTCCGAAGACTAACTTCCATTTTCTCTAGCTTTCACTCATTGAATTTATTCACTCTCGCGACTGGGTACATCGAGATATTAAGCCTGCCAACTTCCTCATGGGCCCAGACGTATATTCGTCCTCGCGGCCGTCGTCCTGCGACCGGGTGAACGTAATTGACTTCGGCCTCGCGAAGAAGTATGCGAACAGTGGGACGGGCGAACACATCAAGAACACACAGTGTGACACTCATGGGGTCGGAACTCCGCTTTTTGCCAGCATCAACACGCACAAAGGTGAAGGTACGGTGCACACGCCTGTTGCCTAGTTGAGCTTCTTTGATGACGTCGTTCTAAACTTAGATTGCTCAAGGCGTGATGACCTTGAGTCGTTGGCGTATACGCTCATCTATTTCCTCCGTGGAACATTGCCCTGGCGGAAGGTGAAGCCTCCTCCGGACGCCGATAAGAACCCGAAACTCGCGTGGGATAAGGTCCTGGTTGCAAAACTCGCTGCTGAGTCTTCTGGAATCGTCACCGCAGGTCTCCCAACCGAATTCGACATCTTCTATCGATATGTGCGAAACCTCGCCTTTGAGGATCTACCCGATTACGCTGGCTGCCGAAAACTGTTCCGAGATCTCGCGAAACGTGAGGGTATCGAGTATGACGGCCAATTTGACTGGACTGTTGTGGGCGAACGTGTGTGGCGCCGAAAGAGTGGCAAGCAGCGGTCTGCCAGCGGGCCTAGTACTATCAGTGGCGGCAGCCAGAGACGTCGCCGGTTTTGCGAAGCGTGTGAAGCTCGCGCTCAAATGGAAGCTGAGATGCACTCCATACCGTTGTCTCGACGGTCATAGGGAGTGGGACGAAGAAATCTGTTGGGTTGTATTTTTATTTCTCTCATCATTCTGGGTGTATTTCTAGCTAGTGGTCAAGTAATGTCAAGGCAAGTTGTCCTTCGTACTTGAGTTATGTATATCTGACTTATGGAAAAATTTAGCCTTCCTTTTGGATGCCTTGACAACACTACAAATTGTCCGCACCGGCCACTGCCGTGGCTGAGGGCCATGATCCTCGCCTAGCATCGTGCGAGAAACTCGCTGTACCCTGCCTTGGATAATAACAAAGAGCATGTCTGGGAATCTAGCCCCGGAATGGATCTCAAAGGTCGCGACAGCCGGGCGTGTCGCGATTTTAATTGACATTGCTTTTCATCGTGTTGCCAATCGTTTTGCTTTGCTGTTACAATGGGGACTCCGCCTGGCCGGCATGGTCCTCTATCTCGCCTTGCTCTCGCAACTCTGCACTTGACTAGGATTTCTTTGGGGTTTTAACACATGGATAGATCGTAAATGGCATGTAGACGAATATCTCCGTTCTCACAAATCTTGTTTCTATTTGTATCATTACTATTCTACCTGCTTTCTTCGCCACCATGTGCCCACTTGTATACGTGCTCTGTTGGATCTAGCTGTCATATATTGTAGCTGTTCTTATTTGCCTGCATTTCTCAATCAATATTTGGATTGTTGCATTTTGTACTTTTTCTACTGTATATAGGACTCTTTATCACTTGAAAATATCTGTGCTTTGACATACCAGCTCCTCTAATTAGGCTATATTTGCTTCGACTTGAATCAAAACTGGAATCGGAGTTTAAAATACGGGGCGCGATGCGCGATTTGGTCACATGATCTTTTGAATCATTTCTTTTGCGGCACGTCTATGGCCTCGTTGATTGCTCTGACTGGCAGCTATGATGCTCGCAAACCAGGCAAGGACTGGCATTGCTTTTGCTGAGCGGCTGCTAAAGCAGGTAATTCTCCCAAGGTGTTTTCAGTTCACAAGGTTCAGTGTTTATCCCCACGCTAAATTTTCTTGCATAGATCACTTCGATTTAATGGATTTGCCACCGAGACTACGACAACAGCGCAACCTTCAGATGATGCTTCGCTTCCAACCTCCTTTAAAAGGCGACGAAAGGAACAGTTAATGGTCATACCGGATGTGTCCGAGCGTGAATACGCAGCGAAAGTCATACACGGACGTTCCATCTTCGCACCCATTCGACACGAAAAGACGCATGGAATACCCGTTGCGAGTCTACACGTCCGAGGGTACAATCACCGCGAATTAGATCTTTTCTTGCACTTTGCTTCTCATGCTGCGTCTGCACTTGCGATTCCCGTCAGCGAGCCTATCCGCCTGCCAACGCAACGTAGCTTGTGGACCGTCCCGAAAGGACCATTCGTGCACAAGAAAGCTCAGGAGAATTTTGAACGGAAAGTACATAAGCGTATGTTGCAAGCGTGGGATGCGACGGATAACGTTGTCGAGCATTGGTTACGGTACATTCAGACGTACCCACAACCGGGAGTTGGGTTAAGAATTGTGCGTTGGCATCGTGCCCCGCTTGGGATTGGGAAGAAACATACGGAACGAACGTCACAGGCGCAGTTGAAGTCGCAAGAACTCGAGAATATTACGAATCGACAGCGGGTTGAGGAGGTTGCGAAGAATATTGTGAAGCAGGAGATGGCGACGGCTAAGATAGATGAGCCTACGCCCAAAGTGATCACACAGAAGAGCGAGGCTCCAAAAGAGTCGAATACACGGGAGAAGTCTGGATAGATTTTAGGTATGCTCGCGATTGTTTAATTTGTGTATCCAATTCTGATTCCGGCTTAAGATATATCCCTAGCCTTTTATAATTATAATTCGGCAAAAAGTCACTGACTCCGCGCAAGTTCTTTCTTCGCCAGAGCTACCTGGACAATTTGTTTTCTTATTATCAGTAGTGCCACACTCTTAAAGACTCAAGTCATACCAAGTTAACAAAGACTCTCTCGTCCGTCACGCGATGAAATTCAACGAAATGTCTCAAAGAAAGTAACCATTACGAAATCCCTTCTATCGACTCCGAAATAACTCTGCTCGAGCATCAGCATGCACTTACGTACCCGTATCCCACTCTCAGCACACTTCTGTAATATCTAATGATTTTCTCAGCGTTCTACCAAATCGTGATCATCTCTATTGAGTCAACACCGCTGTTCGAACATGATTATCTTCACTGACGATCCTGCATCTTCCTGTTCGTTTTTTAAAAAGTCTGATAATGACTCCTCAATGCTTCATCATACCGTGTATTTCGTATCCTAGGCGACAATGAAGCCTTCCCCGAGTCGGAGCTGTTGATGGCTGATCCTGGAATTTGTCGAGCCGCAACTGTCTTTGTCTTTGCTCACGCTGAACCTCTTTCTCTCTCTCAGGTTTCATTCTGCTCTTGATTCATGCAGCACTTACAGAGTCGTACACATTGGATGCATTTGCTTCACCATTTGCCTAAGGGAATGCCAACTCTGAGAGCTCACGGTGAGAACGCAAATATTTTCAATTTACACACATGCAACAGCATCCTAATTGCTCCTGAACCCATCACAAGACGCCCACCCTTTTTTGTATGGCATAGTAGATGGTGGTTAAGCACAAAGGTAACTCAGCCTCAGTTGTGACTTTTGAATAATCCTTCAATCTCCTGGCTGCCTGACGACGAACTCTTGAATGAAATTTCTTTTTGACTCATTGGCGCAGCTGCGTGTAAACATCGTTTGTAAAAAGCCGTCCAGCTCTATAGAAAATTTCCTACATTGTGCCACTAACGCGCCTGAAACCATAGAACTGCATAGCCACTGCTAGATGAAAAAATATTTGTTGTCTGTAGCAATCATTACAGTAAATCAAAGGCTGTGTACCTGTGCATACAGAGGGTAAGAACTCAAACTTGGCATGTTCTGCAGTCAACACCACTACTCAAGCTTTGACTTACAACAATAGATGGCAGAGATACTACATAACACGTATGTGGGTGACAAGCAATTTGGCATCGAATCGAACAATCCCATCCACAAGCAGCTAATGATTATGATTAAGAACTAGCGATCTCTTTAATTCTTCTGCTATCTTCTCCGCAATCTCTTTGTTTATCTTGTCAAACGTAAATCCAAAGTCCTTCTCGCAAATCCTTTCCAGTTCTGCTTTGGTCTGCTTCCAACAGGTTGGATACCAACATGTGACTTCGGTTTCAAAATTATATCCATCCGGACCTGTCACTGCAAAGAATAGAAAGAACTCAACTTCTTCTTTCGTCAAATATATTGAATATAAACTCACTGATGATTTGGTTCAAGTATGGCGTCTTGTGCATGGACATAATCCACCGAACTTCATAACCTTCTTTCCTTGCATCTGGTGAAGAATGATTAGCAAGTGAGTTTAGCTTGTGTTATGATTACAATAGTTTTGATTTCAACGTACAGAACATCAATTCAGCAGTATTATCTGCTTAATTAGATAAGTTTTTAGGATCGTAGAAGGATGAAGACCATTACAAACCTTTGCAAGTTAAAGGCTGATCTGTCGGCTGTGCAAATGCTCTCATCACTCCAAAGGCGAATTTATAAGCGTCTTCCAGCTCGTCCCACCGGTCGTCACAAAAGCACTTCCAAAGATAAGTTATCCATTTCTTCGGATCTTCTGTATTCTCATAAACTGCAGAACAATATTCGGAGAAAAGCAGCATATGTAATAATTAATAATATAAATTACCTATTAGATTGGCAGTGTCCCCCACAACACTTTTCTTTACAATCCACTTCATATGAGGTAAGTTCTTTCTCATCCCCGGAAAAGGGGCATTTACAGTCAATCTATAAATGACTAAACAACTGCATTAGAAACCACACACATATAGTGAATTCTTTCTCGTTGTGTCCAGCTTCTTGAAGAACTTTAATTGCTGCAACCTCCTCGTCTTCTGGCAATAGAACGTAGGCCTTCCTTGATTGACTGAGAAGAAGAGTTTTTTCAGATGAGAAGACATGTGTGATCTTTGATTTAGGAATGAAGATATTCCGGAGAACGTCTCGTATCCAGCCAAACATTGTATATGAAGCTGAAAATGAGATGTTGCAAGAAGTGGAAGTAGAAACACAGTGAGGCAGGCTTCACAAGAAAGTGCGTGATGTAGGCCGAGGCAACGTCGAGTACCCTTGCCGCCTTGCTTTTGTGAAGCTGCTATCAATGGGATCGGATTTCATAGCTTAACTGTGAGTACTGACTGGTTTATGCACAGGAACGGTAGGTCGGCTAGATCGGTCATCAAGAGTAGGTATATGCTAACAGCCATATATAGACTGTTCAACTGTATAGAAACTTAAAACGGATAAACTTAATCAATAATACAAGTGGACGCTTGTATTGTCATAAGCCAAGCTCTTGCATAAACTAAACTATTTATATTGTCTGCCTAGAAGTGTCTCATATCAGAACTCACTGATGGCAATACCTGCCACAGCACTTGCAGGAATAAAATGGTATAGCAGTTACCACTTTGAATCTAACTAGTAAGGAGACTACATTTGCATGTAGCATAGCTACCCTCATCAATAAGCAAAGTTCCACATACGTCAAGAAGGAGTACACAAAGTACATTTGCCACCCGTGCATGGTCTACAAACCCCTCTTTTGTTCCTTTGTCTTACTCCTATAAAGATGAGCAAACACACAAGATCAAAGAGCCAAAATTTCGGAAAGTTTGAAACACCAAAACAAGATGATACGTATGGAAGGTCGTCCCTTCCGGAGGTTACCACCAGTAGTGTAAGAAGACAGAACGACGATATCCTATATGCCCAACTCGAGAGTGGTTTGTACACTTTCTTGCACATTTTTAACTCTCTAAGACATTCAACTAACGTTTCATTGTTCATTGGACAGAAGCAAGAAACCAACTCAAGTTCTATGGCATCCATCTTGAGAGGGAAGGCATAGTTAAATCCGTATTCCGTGGTGGAAAATACATAGCCTCCATTGGTGAGCAAGTTTTGTTCAGAACTATAACTTATAAATTATCATGAAGTTTAACTAACAAACGGATTCTCTGGATTTGCACTGTAAACCGCAGGAGAAGATTCTACGCCATCAAGGAGAAGTAGTACAGCCCAGATCCTCGGGTCCCCTAAGAAGGTTAACGATAAGAATCTCGTGTCGGTGGAGTGGAAATGTGGATGCTCCAAGAAAGTGAGGCCTCTACCCACTGGTAGAGGAGACAACTTCAAGGAAGCGCGACTTCGCCTTCGTCTGGCTCTCCTTGAGGATGTGCATAGTCATAAATGCCAGGGATACACACCAGACGATAAGCCAGAGGAGATTGAAGCACTCAGGGCAGAAATTGAGGCTATCACTGGCAAGCCGCAGCGAAGGAGGTAGGTGTGAAGGAGTCTGGGATAAATCGGGAATGAGAAGCCTGTCGAGAAGAGAACTACTTCCCAGGAAGTACGAGTCGTTCCCGAAGATAAGTGCGTAATAGTATATGCAGATTGGTGCGAATAGTCTCAGTCGTGGTCTGTTTCAAATTCAATATACTGATGAACAGTTGTGTTATTAACGGCATGAGTGGAGGTTGACGGAGAAGATCAACTGTGATGTGCATGTAATACTACTAGCGTTCAGAAAGACAAAGACAGCCAGTATTAGTCTTACTGCCTGTTGGGCTTATGACAACCTAATTGTCGAGTAGAGTGATTCACTGCAGCTGAATACTGAGCATCTCGACTCTGCCATCATCAGCTCTACTTCGACCATCAGACATCAGGATGCAGTCTACTCACTTACAACGATATCAATGTTCTTGTAGCACTTTGACCATCAGCACCCATCCTTGTCTACAAGCACAACAAGCCTTGCCTAAATAGTTACAGCAACACAAAGGAACACTCCAAAAACGTCTCTAATGAATACTTATTAATAGCAGCAACATCATTATCAAAAGGGCCACATAGCAACTTACTTAAGTAAGTGAGTGTGAATTGTACATGATACGCATCCGAGTCGGGACCCTTCTCGACGGGTGGAATTGTATTTGTAATATTTAGGCATGGGCATTTCCTTTGAAGGGATCAATATTGTTGCTGTTGTTGGTATCAAATACCCGTTACAACGGAGTAAGCGAAAGTGTGAGTGGAATGGAATGGAACGAAGGCAGAATGTGGAAGGAAGCGAAATGAGGAGAGTAACAGAAACGACTGTTGGTAAGTCCTACAAACAGCGTTGTGAAGAAACGAAGAAACCGTTGTCGTTTGTAGAAAAGTCTGTTGGAAGGTCGAGGCAAATACAAATTACTCAGAATAGAATAGAAACAAGAAAAATGACTTGATTTAACTCGAATTACATTTTCACGGGACCGTTTTGGGTTTCCTTTGCACCTAGGTTTTTGCGTTTGCCCCCTCTCCTGCCAAGTCTAACAGAGTAGAATGTCAGTTATGAGCGCGAGGTGCGATTGTTCCGTAATCTCCGCGTACATCCGAAACGTCCGTTGATGCGCTCTCACTGCAATATCGACGCTTAAGGATCATCACGGGTCGGGGATGAATGAGCGTCTGTTGTCTCGGTGTAAGATCATTGATGAGCGTGTGTACGTACGTTCGAGCGCGGATCCGTGGTCGTATCTTCCTGTGATTTAGTGGATTTGTATGGCTGTGTGGGTGTTTAAGCAAAGGCGGGGGAGATATCTTACGTTCCTGATGAAGATGAACTCTCCTCGGGACAACAATAAATAGATGATTTCGTTCTCGTCATAGATTTAGAACTCTCGTATCACAGAAATCAGCAGAAACAGCCCTCGGATCGATTTTTTTTTTCGTGATGTTAGATCTTCTCGGTTTGATGCGTCCGAGTTTGTCTTGCTGTCTGAACGAGGGGTGGCGCCGTGGCGTTGGTGTATTTATTAGATGAACGCGGTTCGTCCTCGTAGCAGGCACACACCGGGACAGCGGAGACAAGGATAAGATGCGCAGCAGCAGTAACGAATCAACGAACCAATAACGTCTTCATGTCCATAAATTAACCTCTTCTACCGAAAGCAAGGAGGAAACTAGGAACATTTGTATTCGGCATATGCATGGCAACACCAAAGAGTAGATGTCATCGTCCGAATTACAAGGACAGAGAAAAGCATCCTTCATATCCAGTCAATAGTGGCCACACTCTGCGTGAACACAAGTTTAAGTAGGCATTCAAGGACTGCATCGGTGGATAAACCATGGGTGTGGATTTAGAGATGATCTGTTCGTGACGGCAACTTTCTTCATTTACTCAGTGTCGATCATTGTACAGTTGAAAATGTCTTATTGCATAACGTCGGGAGAGGGCTAAACCCAATGCATTATACAATTTATGCATTATGACAATACATTTTGGCTGAGGACCTGAATTTTGGTCCGGCCAAAAGTCTATGCATTATGCCATTTATGCATTATGATGTGATGCAATAAGACATTTTCAACTGTATTTCCTATTAATATTATATTTATCTGCCCTCAGGAACAAACGCCATCATCAATGCAGTGGCAGAAAGTCACCATCCGAGCTCGGCTCGCACCTCCACTGTTCCTTCTCTTCGGCATGATTCTAGCGACACATTTCATTAGGAGGAGCGTGGTTTAGTACCTTTAAACTTAGCGTTCAGTGTTGAGTTCTAAGTTTGCATGAGAGTATCGACTATCGGCACCGTGCGATTGAATGAAGTTTGGTGTATTTATAGCGTGTTAACCAAATTCGTCGCTTGCATCTTGAGAGGAAGGGGCTCATGTTTGTCGAGATAGGGTGTGAAAGCAACCTCATGGTTCTCACTCCAGCTGTCTGTTTTCCATTTTTGCTAAAGCTCCTCCTGGATACGAAGGGAGAGAGACTGACGATGGTTGAGTATAGATAGCTTTTGTGGTGACTGGTATCCTCCTATGATGCAGCAGTTCCGTTCCGTTGGACACTGGACAGAGTAGTCTCCAGTGGACTGGACAACGGGTGGAATAGAATTTGTATTTTTTGATCGCCGTGGATTTCGGCGGCCCATCTGCATCCGCAGTCGCCCAGTGGCACATCATGCCAACTCTAGCGCCGCAAGTCAACCGCAATTGTTCTCCCTGCTGGCGTTTCAGCGGTGCCGTCCAGGGTAATTTCCAATGCCGATGACGGACGATGTCAAGTGTACACAGACAGGCGTGTGGGCGGGGAGAGTCGCTGGACGTGTTAGCCGTGTCTGTTGCTGTGTCAGAGGGCCAGAAATAGAGGCGAGGGAGGGTTCTAGATCAAAGAAAATGGACATGCCGATGAGACGGGATCAGAATTCGGGCGGCGGAGATCGTGGGTAGCTGCCGAATATGGGATATACACTGTCAAGGAAACGTGACGACCCGCGGGCGTGGTTGTGATGGCCTCACCGCTGCTCTTTGCCTTGAACTAACTCGTCGCCCCCTCCCTATCTCGAGGTCTCATAACCCCCGCAGGACGGTCCCTTTCCTTCTCTCTTCCTTCAGGCGCAGCGCGCTCGCTCATTTCTCTCTCCCCTTCCTCCCCCCGGACTCTCGACAAAGAGTTTAGCAAAGACGGACAGACTAGACAAGATCATCAAGACACGAATCAAATTCCGATGGCGTTCAATATGAAGAGATCCTCTGGCCTTGATTTCTCCGACAGGGGGCCTGCTCTCGACGCTCACCCGGATCTCACCCTCAATATGGGCAACCCCAACCTCCAGAGGAATAAGACGGAGAGACAGCGCATGCAGGGTCTCATGCGCAACACGACTCTGCGCGGGCATTCGAATGGCGAGCAGACGGGCGCCAATAAGAAAATGTCCATGAAGGAACGCTGGGATATGTGGATGCTCAACGAGGGCGGTCGGAGGATGTTCTTCTACGCCTTCCTATTCTTGCATATCTTAGTCTTCACCTTTGGATGGTTTCATTATGCGTTGAAGGATAATTTGGTTGGCTCGCGGGCGACGTTTGGTGTAACTTTCGGTAAGCAAGAATTTTTCTAGTAAATTGCGTAGTTACAGACAGTCTGATAATCGTATGTATCACAGTTATTGCTCGTACTGCTGCTCTCGTCCTTCACGTGGATGTTATCTTCATCCTCCTCCCCGTCTGCCGGAATTTCATTTCTCTACTCCGTCGCACGGCTCTCAACGACGTCATCCCATTTGACAAGAACATCACGTTCCACAAAGCAGTCGCATGGTCGATTGTGTTCTTTTCCTTTGTGCACATCGCAGCGCACATGGTGAACTATGCGAAGCTCGCGATTGCAGACACAGATGCGAAGACGACGGGCCAACGTGTTGCGACGTTCATCATCGCAAACATCATCACTGGACCCGGTGCAACTGGATGGATCATGACTATTGCCCTTGGTGTGATGGTGTGGTTTGCCATGGAGAAGCGTCGCCGTGCCCACTTTGAGCGATTCTGGTACTCGCATCACTTGTTCATTGTATTCTTCATCAACTGGCAACTTCACGGTATGTTCTGCATGATCAAGCCAGACAGGCCGCCGTACTGCTCATACAACACCATTGGTGTCTTCTGGGTTAGTATTCCCAAACTGCATATTTTGATGATTTTCCTAATCGTGTTATTTTACAGCGCTACTGGCTTGTTGGAGGAGTGATCTGGATTTACGAACGTATCCTTCGTGAAGTCCGTTCCCGTCACCGCACCTACGTCTCCAAGGTCATCCAACACCCTTCAAAAGTTATGGAAATCCAGATCAAAAAGGAAAAAACGACGACCCGTGCAGGACAATACATCTTCCTCTCTTGCCCTGAAGTTTCTTACTTCCAATGGCATCCGTTCACTCTCACAAGTGCACCCGAGGAAGATTACATTTCCGTACACATTCGTATTGTTGGGGACTTCACTGCTGCTTTCGCTAAGGCTCTCGGATGTGATTTTGATTCTAAGGACAGGCCTGAGAAGGGAGATGAGGGTAAAGTCATCCCGCCACCTGTCAACCGTGTTCTTCCACGTGTAATGGTCGACGGTCCATTCGGTTCCGCATCCGAAGATTTCCTGAAATACGAAACTGTTCTTCTAGTCGGTGCAGGTATCGGTGTCACACCCTTCGCATCGATCCTCAAGAGTATCTGGTACAGGATGAACGGATTCAACAACTCCAAACCCACACGTCTCTCCAAGGTCTACTTCACTTGGGTAATTCGTGATTTCGGTTCAGCAGAGTGGTTCCACTCGTTGTTGAAGGCCATTGAAGACCAGGATACGATGAGGAGGATTGAGATTAGTTTGTATTTGACGGCGAAGATTAAGGATGAGGATGCTACGAATATTATGGTTCAGGATGTTGGTGCGGAAAAGGATGCGATTAGTGGGTTACGTGCTCCGACGCACTTCGGCAGGCCGAATTGGGATCGCGTGTTCCCGTCTATCGCCGAGAAGCATCCTGATACTGATGTTGGAGTGGTACGTCTTCTTGAACAACTATTTCTATTCATTTGCTAACGCATGTTGCTTATTTTGGGTAATGTTTTAGTTCTTCTGTGGTCCATCGGCACTCTCGCGCGTCTTGCATAGCAAGTGTAACAAGTACTCGACCCCGAAGGGAACGAAGTTCTTCTTTGGCAAAGGTTCGTCTCTAACTACCTCCCTTTTTTTCTGGTTTTTGTGACTTATCTGAACTTGAACAGAGAACTTCTAAGCACTGGATCAACGTTCCTCACGGACGCAGGCGGCATCTCCCTGTATCCTATTCCCGTTCTCACTCCTTTATCCTTCCTACCTATGGTCATTCATTTCTTTCTCGTCCGAGTCTTTCGTTATTTCGCTGTTGTTCATGTCAGGAAGGGGTAGGAGGAAAAGAAATGAATGTAGGATATACATAATTATTTCTCTGGTTGGAAGGAAAAGGAAGGAAGCAAGGACTGAGGATATTCTCTCTCTTCTCTCTCTCTTTCTCAAGGATATCAACTTCAAGGATGAACGAAGGACGAAACCAGTAGTATCTGTGTCTAGTGTCAGGTGATCTCTCTTATAGAAGTGGCCCATTCGTTCGTTTTATTTTCGGATATCAATTCTCTGTGTCTAGTTTTAGTTATATATGTCTATGTCAGGTTTTTGCCTTTATTTGTTGTTTATCAGCGTATTCAATTTGCTTTCTTTTTTTCCCTTCTTTTGGATAATAATAATATAAGTTTTATTTGAAAGGGGGTTGACTTGGGTGTGTAGCATATTATGTGCAGATTTATCTGAGTCTAAAAGATTTGTGTACTAACAGTCTCATCTTATGAGATATATTAGTTGTACGAGTGACTTTGTGAAGGAGTTCATTTATATTTAAGTCTCAGAGATTTACTAACAGTCTCAAAATATTATGAGATACACTAGTGGCACAATTTAATTTGTGAAAGATTTTTCATAATTGTATTTATGAGGTAGCTGTAGTTCTCATACAATTCTAATTTTATCTCATATTCCAAATAGCCAGACCAATCTATCTCTTTTACTTCTGACTTGTGTCATTGCTTCGCCTTCGGCCTGTAGCACAGTCTCGTATAGTCTTCCAGTGTAGGTCAGCTGCGTCACTGTCATCAGTTTTGACAGCAGTACGAAGGTTTCTAGCTGCATCACGGCATTCATCAGGTGATGGTCTGGTACTGGATGTTCCGCTTGAACGATCTTTGCTGTCACTGCTGGATGGTTGTTGTTGCTGAGCGTCAGTTGTGCGATCGCTTGACATGCTTGTACGTAGACTCGAAGTGATTGATTATTAGTGTAGGAAGAGATAGAAGGCTTCATACTGACCTTATATATCTTACTGATAAGTGTGCAAAGGTGGTCCCTGGAAGAGCTTGCAAAGTGTTATCAGCTATAGCCTATAGGATGCAAGTCAAAGTTATATCCCCAAGAAGAGTAGGCTTAGTAGCTAGGTAGGTATGGATCAAATAAATGTTCTGAGTAGGCATAGTTACGTTTACAGACGAATTCAGATTGTATGCAAAGTTGGTGGTACTACTGACATTAGGGATTTATCAGAAATTCGTGGCGGAGGGCCACTTAGATCAGTGGCGACATTTCACTAGGTTAACTGTTATAGTGTTATGACTTTATGTTGCACTTAATTGCATGAATTACTGTAAAAGCACAAGTATAGACTGAGTGGATTTCATAGTGGTGAAAGACAAAGATGATATAGCTTGTAAGCTATAGCCTGGTAGATATATGAGGCTACTAGTTTCATTTTTCTCATATACTTTCTTTTACTTATATCAATAAAAAGTCAGTACAATTTGTCTTTTACTCCTCTTTTGTGCCACCAGAGTTTCTTCTCTTCTCATCACATTTTTTAATCAAGTTGTAGGCCTGACTCAGCCCAGCAATGCTTCCATCTGGGAAATCTTGATTGTAACTATTCCATCACGAAAAAGTCGCAACAAATGTAATTAATAATAGCAAATGTAATGTAATAATG